TCCCCGTCACACCAAACATGTTCGCCATTTCAGCCGAGAGAGCATTATAATGTTACGATCAACCCCACTATTCGTTGGTAAAAAGAGTTGCCAAAGAGTTGGCGGTGATGACTAGCTGCCTTTCCCTCTAGTCTTACACTGCTAAATTAGAGACGGCTAGCGCAGATAGCCCTCGTGTAGCTTTGCGCGAAATTCAAACCAAACAAACTAAAACCACTACGTAACGTTACTCATCATGAAAAGCTAACAAGACGTGGCTTACATTCCAATTTTACGATTATCACAATTTATTAACAGCAGGTGATATATACAGGACTTTCAATACATTATATAAAATATTCATAAATATGACAAAGCAGTCGACACTCCTCCACACGTTCACAGTAACGAATGTGTTGTAGAAAAAGAAACTTCTGTGGAGAAATCTATCCTCAGAAGATGTAAAAGATCATAAAGTACAGTAAGGATTGGCTAACAACGAAGAGAAAATCACTCTGGTAAAAAAATCAGCTAAATGATGGATTAAGCTTCAAAATCTGAGCAAGACAAGAATAACATAGCATGTGAAACAGAAACTGGAGCTACTATACTTTTCCCAAACGTGTGCATGCGATAGCCTCAGCTTGTTAAAATGACATGGAAAGTTAATCTCCAAACACTGTTTAAAGAAATGGTCAAAGCCATCAAATGAGCCAGTTCTCCATCCAAGAAATAAATGAACAGAGAAAGCTTTGATAAAAGGGACTTCAGCCAAAAAATGATAGTAGACATATCAATATAATTATAAGATATTCATAAAATACATACTCCAAAAGAAAAAATAAGTACCCATTTCCAAGTAAGTGAACCCAGAATCTGTTGATTAAATGAAAAAAAGATGTCAGTAGTTCCAGCATCCAAATAATTAAGCACGTTTAAGTTAAAACGGCAAAGATTACACGGACTCATAACAGAATGAAATGACTCAGCAACATCACGAAAATAAAAAAAATACAAGGTATAAAAATTAATAGACATTAGATCAGTTAAGTGTCTGAGGCTCGGCATGGCCAGGTGGTTAGGGCGCTCGACTCACAATCTGCGGGTCGCGGGTTCGAATCCCCGTTA